ATTACAAAATAGGATATTTCAATTGCTGCTATGAAAGTACACTTTCTTATATTGCAAACAATGCCTGGCTTCTTGTCAGCTTCCCTCACACTGGCACACATTCAGCAGATAACTGAAAGCTTCTCAGTGCAGAGAAGATTTTTTTTGTGATTTTTAGCATCTTCAAGGACACGCAGACACAATTCAGACATTGTTTTTTCTCTGTGGCTGACGGTCTGCAATGAAGGACTCTTGTTTTTATCTCTACAGCTCATCTCAAGGACGTTAGATAAACGTCAGCTCAGACGGCCCACAGTTCCCACTCCTTTCCTTTTCTTTCTGTTGCTAACTTTCTTTTTAGGGAGGGCCACCGCCTAACGCTATTAGCATGACTTTTTGGCTCCCAGTGTTCTCTTAAACTATCACTAGAAGAATCAAACGCAGAGCAGTCAAAATGCTTACAAGTCAAATCTGCCTGATAGCACTTTGGCATAGAAAGCTCACATCCTAATTCAGAGTGACCTCTTACAAGGCCGGAGCCTCTTAACTGAGTTATCTCTCACCTCTGAGGGAGTAATTGAATGGAGAACAATCAATGAGGTTATCCATAAACGCAATCATCTGGCAGCACTGGCCGTTTAAAGCACTTCAACAGTTGAGTGTCATCTCTTACTGGTGGGAGGAAGGGCTGTATCAGCTGATGTATGGAGCTACAACAGGAGGTTGTCATTGACCAGTTTGAGATCCTCAAATACGATTTGTCATCATTCTCCTCAAACTGATGCTAATTGTGTTTTCTATCCATTTATTTACCTCTGGAGGTCAACCAAAATGGGCTTGGACTACAGGCTGTCTTTTGTTAATTTGACTATACAGACAATACATGTCGTCTCTCCTTAATACCAGCTCAATATGACCTCTATTGAAGAATCAATTCTGGTAGGATCATTTGTGCTGAGAGTTGGAAAAGCCCAGAGCTGGCAGACATGTTTTTCAAAGTGTGATGGATAGATCATACAGAAAAAGGAACTGCAGAACAACATATAGGCAGTGATAGTGAGGGCTACAAGTGTCCTGTACAGTCAGCTTTTTGTTGTGTCATTATCATCGGGGTCCTAGACTGACAACAGAAAATATGACGGTAGACAACAACAATGACACGGAATCACCCGAGGCACGGAGTGACAGGATAAATCAGAGAGAAGAAATCAGATGTGGGGAGAACAATGTCCAAGAGAGTGGGTAAAAAGATTGATCACACAGACTCGTCTTTATGTAATCTGACAGAAGTCAATCCACAGAAGAAGAATGGAGCGTAGAGAGACAAGAGAAGAAGCACTGGCTAAAAGGCAGCAACAAGGTTACAGCAGATTAAATATGAACAAAACAGGCCATACAAGCAAGAGAGCTGAATCAACGAATTACTTGGCAGACTTCAGCATCATCTTAAACTAACGTGGTGACATGGAGCGCCTCATACGCCATCTCCATCACTGCAGCCTAGAGCCTTTACTGTCATATCCTGTGAGCCATGTTTCATGAATTCACATCAGCACTGCTGTTTGTGCCAGAGGAACCCTGCTTCCATTGATGTCACTTTGTTTTCTTATTAATCTGTGTTGGCTTAAATAATTGGGATAATGTAAGGACTTGCCAAAGTCACATTCACACTGGAGGGCACTCCTGAGCTGATTTAACAGCGACACAATAACTTGGCGCCATCTTCTGGTGAAAAGGTGCCTTTTCATATGTGATCCTGGGAACCTGCCCTTGACAAGAAAAAGTCAAATCACCCCTTTTTCACAGAGCCGAGGTGTTAGCATTTAGCCCTTGCTTGTTTCTGAAGAAGTAAAAATTTCTTTAGGCTGGGACACATCATTTAAATTATACTATTTAAACTTCTAAAAGTTTCATTTCAAAAATTCTTAATCATTTCTTTTAGTTTTGCAGGCAAAAAATGACTCATGGATTTTCATTGTCTGTACAGTATTTCTCAAATTGACTGTAAAAGATGTGTAGTTCATAGTATAGTAGCATACAGTAACAACCTCAGTAAGGATTTAATGCGCTACGAGTTAAATCCAATACAACAGTATTGTTTGATGTTGTCTGTAAAAAGCTGAGTGAATGTGCCACAAACACACACTTGGGTTTACAGGAGTTTCTTTTGATTCAGAAAGTTTCTAAACACTAATTAACCCAACAGCCTTTAAACTGGATAAACATGTTATCCAAATAGTGCTTTTATTATAAAGATGTCCCAGAAACTTTGCTGTTTAACTGTTTTCTTTTTCTCATTTTCACACACAACAACGAATCAAATAATTTTTTAGCATTTCATCTCTGTGTCTTGTGCTTCTGCTACAAAAGTGGTATTATTCTTTCCTCCTCTTGCGCGTCATGATAAATAAACATATCATCTCCTTTGAGAAGGAAGATTAGATCTCCTGTGCCTCTGAGATGCTCACCGTTTCCTCCCCCACATCACTCCCTCATCTTTTAATTTCGTCAACACAGCTTTGACGTCATCTCTCCCTAAACATAAACTTCAAACCAACAACATCAACAAGTAACAATTACAGACTCGTACCACCCCAAAGTAAAACCAGACTTTACTGTTTTGGTTGCTAAAAAAAAAGGAAAAGGAAAATAAAATCTTCTCTTAGTAAATGCAATCTTGACTTAATCTAAATTCACTATTTTCAAGAAATTGAGTTTTCCTCACAGCATAATTTAATTTTGAAATGTATCCTTATTTGGGAACAGCTGTGGACAAAACAGTCTTTTGTTAAAGTATTTTTCTTGGCTTGATGCTCTCTTCCAACGAGGATCCAAATTATAAAGTCCAAGTTCAACTGATCAGGCACAACCTTACGACCATGTGCTTATTTTGCATTATCCTGTTGAAAGAGGCCACAGCCATCAGAGAATACCATTTCCATGAAAGGGTGTACATGGTCTGCAACACAGAGGTTAGGTAGGTGGTGCGTGTCAAAGTAACATCCACATGGATGCAAGGATCCAAGGCTTCCCAACAAAGCATCTTGCCTTCTTCCCGTAGTGCATTCTGGTTTTCCTGTCTGTTGAGTGAGACAACTTTTAATAGATTCTCACCACTGCAGACCGGGAACAACACACAAAAGCTTTGGTTTTGAAGATGCTCTATATAATCAGAAATTTTAACAAGATGTTCCTTTTTTCTCCATAAAACACTATCCGGTTCAGTTCCTTTAAATTTGTATAGTGCCAAGTCACAAATTTTCCCCTTTATAAACTGTAACATAAAGATCCTACATAATTAGAGATAAACACGAATCTGATCATCCTCTATAAGCAAGCAGTTGGTGACAGTGGGGAGGAAAAATCCCTTTTAACTGGAAGAGGCTTCAGAGACTGCTACAACTATTAGCAGCTATAAAATAAACTTTTAGGTTTAGATTTTAGTTTAGAATTTTATTAATATTTTAGTTAATAATTTTGAATATCAGTGGTCAGCTGATTATAATGTTTAAATCATTTTCATTTTTACATCTACGTATTAAATAGGAATGGTTCTTTAGAGGAACTGGAGTCTAATAATCTTTAGTACAAACACTTGTGTACTTAACCTCCCTCCTCCTGTTTTTGGTTAGGGCTAGGGATGGGTATTGATAAGATTTTCACGATTCCGATTCCAATTTCGATTCTGTTTAACGATTTGATTCTTTATCGATTCTCTTATCTATTCTTTTTTTAAAAAAGGGGAACACTAAGGTCGAATAGCTTAGAACTTTGTTTTATATCTTCTCTTTGAACAAGATAGAAATTTAGGAGTAACATGGCCTTACAAACCCAACAGTGAGATCTTAAGAGATCCACAGCCTACGGCTCTTCAATGGAGCGTCACAGGGTCCCCAGGAAAAAACATTGTAAATGTAAAATAATAAAATAAATATTCTTCTGTAGCAATAACAAAGTATAACATAAATTATTCTGTAGCAATTACATAAGAATATCCAGTAATGTCCCTGCCTACAATTAAACACATTCACTTCCTGAAAATCGGGGGCATCTGCTGTGGCAAATAGGTGCAAGCCTTTTACCATAAACGTAGTCACTGCTCGGTGACATTCGTCTATCCTGGCCTGAAAGGAGACGCTACCGGTAGACTGCAGTGAGAACTGCCAGCATCTGAGCCAGACTCTGTCTGTCTGTCTCATCATGGTCACCTAAATGCACAGTAATAGCAGGTCTTGTAATAAGGCAGATTGCGCTAACATAATATGCACTGTTAGTTGATTATTTATCTGCCGCATTAACGGCAGAGGACGTACAAACGTCACCGCTGCTGCTGGGTTGAGATTCACGAGTCCGGAGCGGAATTAAAAACATGACATTTATTTAAGGTCATCGCGTGTTTTGTGAGCAAATGCTTTTGCATATTCGTAGTGTTTCCTCCCTTAAATGAAATATCTACTTTTCAAGTATTGCAAGTTGCCCTGTTTCTCAACAAGAACCGGGTTTCAATACCCATATTTCACTTTAATCCCTAACCGGTTTGTTTGACAAGCCTTTCCTCAAAAGCCTTAAACTTCAGCTTGGTTTTGATTCTTTTCTTGAACTTAACTTAAAAATCAAACCAGTCGTTAAATTCATCTTGTCAGTCAAGACTTCTACCTAAATTTAAAGCATGGGTTTCTATCAATGACCTTGAGGAGATCGTTCATGGTTTCATCACATCCTGACTAGGAAAAGGCAATTTGTTGAACTAAGAAAAACACTAACACTGATATCATGATTGCAGTTGCTGACTGGTATAGAAACCCCAACTGAAACTATACTTCTTCTCAAAGGCCATTTCAGCTTAAGATGAATTATAACTGTGTTATTTTCTCCAGTATATTTTTTATACTGTAAAAAGATTTGCTGTGCTCAAGCTCTGTGGTGTTTTTGCATGTGCTGTTATAAATTAGAACTCATCTTTACGGGGTGTTGATTTTGTGTCACAGATATAAACCAGACAACAAAAACACATTGTCAGGTAATGGCTTTATATTCCTGTTAATATGATACATTACACGCATAATAGAACTTTTGATGTAATGAATATACAACAAACCGCAAAATCGAAAAACAAGACCTTTTCTTTCCCCCCCATTGTTGTAATATAAGCATGGTTGTCTAAAAATCGCAATATTGAAGTGATCTGTGGTTGAGTAACACACATAAAAATATCACAAGTCAAGTTTTTCATCCAGTATAACCTCTCTGTATAGAGCATTTAGTTATTGCACCAAATCTATTTTAGTTTTACAGGTACACAGATTTAAAGTAAACTAATGTTTTTACAGTCTTAAACCATGATCTCTACAATTACAGTACGATACAGAGGAACACCCACAGCATATTTGTAACACAGCATTGGATAAGAATTAGGTTTAGAGCTCAGTGAATTTCAGAGTCAGACTCATGACATCTATAAAAGTTCACAAGTAAAATTTGTTTGGTTGAAATTCAACAGTACAAAATAAACAAATGCTGCTATATGATGTTGCTCGTTTAAGTCTCCCTTCCCTGAGAAATTAAAAAAACACCCCTTAAAGTAAATTTCCAGCACTTACACAACAATTTGTCATTTGTTAAGGCTAAAAAAATGTCACCAGTTTTACACACTACTTTACCGTTTTACTTCTTTTCATTAGCACCCACTTTTCCCTTTACAAACATGGACTTTATTCAACCAGGAAACAGAACTCTTGAGTATCAAATTCATCTTGGTAAAGACAGACAGCATTAACCTAACATAGTTCAATATTAGCTTTTCTAAAGCTGAAACCAGTCTCACAAGGGATTCAAGACTTAACAGATGTAAAGTATTGCTTCAAACAAAAAATTAAGAAAAGAATACCCTTCAATGCAATAATTAACTCTTCATAATCAATACCAAACAATACTAAGTATATATTTTTCCCCTGTTGCAAGTTTAGTGAGGAAGAAATGAATTTACATGCTGATTTATGCAGATATACTGAAAATCATCAACTGGGAAAGCATTCAAATAGAAAGAAGAACTTCTTTATCCTGACCCAAAATGAAAACATCTTATCAGTAAAAATAATCACTAGAAGTTTTTAATATGGTATGATTCCATTACATTAACCCTTCTAAAATTGGTAGTGTGCATTTGGCTTTTTTCCATTGTTTCAGAGGGACAGGGAATAACGTTAGACCGACCGGCAGCTGTGTGTCTATGGCATGCCTGGTGTAAATTACTGTTGTGCAATCAAGCCCAGATTAAGTATCAGTAATGGGAGGTGGGGAGTGCACAGGTACTGGCGTATGTCATCTTATCTCTTGTCTTTTCTGACCTTGTCCTTGGCCAACATGGTCATATGTCCCAGAAAGTTTCATAACACCTGGCCCTACTTATGTGGACGTAGATGGAGTTTTTTTAAAGGAAGCGTGACAAAAGAGAAAAAGTTTAAATCTCCCCATGAATGAAATCTCATACAGTTAAGAGGAGAAGCAAACCATCAGAGTTCGCATTGCTCAAAAATGTAAACTACACGTGTACTGAAGGGGATGGTTGCTTCATAAACGGCAACTTCAGAGCACGCATGACAATTTGGTTACGATGTTCTCTCCCATTTATCAGACTTGATAAGGAGAACAAAGTGCATAATGAATACTGCATATCTATTATTGATCAAATATCCTTGCTATTGCTAGCTAACTGAATTTTAATACCACGCGATTTACAATGCGGCATACATGTTTAATACCAGAGTCATTGGGATGAAATAGCCTTTTGCATGAGGCTAGAATTACAGCAGTTTAAGTGTCTTGTCAAACATTATATTTAAAAACCATTAGCACTATGAGTTAACCATTTACTGGCTAGCTTATCGTAGCATAGAGAGTGGAAACAAGGGGAAACACCTGGCCTGGTACAAAAAGGAATCTTCTATTTAGAACCTCTTACTACCACATTTGATCATTTTCAATTAAGATTTCACAAAGTTGAAGAATAAAAATAAAATAAATCCTACATCTGTAGGATGGTCTGGTTGTTGCTCGGCTAAAATCATGCATAACCTGCCTGCCAAGTGGACTAGTGTTGGCGCACCTTTATTGCACTTGTTTCCCTCTTACAGACCTTCTTTCACAAGTACAGGCATGCAGTTCTCATTTCTCCTCCACTATTTTCTTCAGGCAGTCTACTATGTCTTTGCCACTGACCCAAGGTTCAATGTTTGTTTTGAACTTGGCAGACTGCTGAAACTCCTTTAGCAGCCTGTGCATTGGAAAGTCTTTCCTGGGGAAAGCCGTGTCCCGGGGCCCCAAAGCCAGACAAGGGCAGGCGTCATTGGCCCCATCTCCAATATAGAAGACCCTCTGAAAGGGAACGCCGCCACGCTCCTTCTGCCGCTCCGCCAAATACTCCCGAAGGATCACCTGCTTGCACATGTTATCAGGACAACGGGGGCATGAGTGCGAGTGGAAAGAGAGGAGCACAAGCTGACCAGCCGCATTAAAACTGGATGGGTTTGTGAAAATCTTTCTGAAAAGGTCACGCACCCCAGCATGCCTAAGCCAGGTTTCAATAAAATACATGTTGGCATCGGAGACCACCACAAGCTCAAAGTCCTGCTGGTGGCTCTGCAGATACTGGAAGAGATTCATGAGGCCTTGATTTGGTGGGATCTTCTCCACTGCTGAATGGATGGAGTCTTTAGAGACGCCCTGCTCAGCCATGTAGGCCAAAATCTTCTGCGTATTTTCATTATACTGCCCCTCCCTGTAACTGTTTTTCAGCCAAGCAGGGAGCTCTTTGTCTGGCAGAGTACGCACCAAAGCATCGTCGCTGCTTTCGCAAATGATGGTCTCGTCGAAGTCAAACAACACCAAAAAGCGTTGATCCTGTGGTGCGGCAGGCGTTAAAGGAGCTGTCATCTTTGGTGAGTGATTTCTTTCTGGGGGGGGGGAAAAAAGCAGAGGTGGAAGGAATGAAACAGAGAGCCCCTTTTTTCTCACCGTCAAGAACAGCAGACTCTGAAGCACACTGTTTTATAGCATCCTGGTGTAAAACTTTAATGGCGAGAAGCTAAAAAAGCCATCAATCAGAGTTTAAATCACAGAGAGTTCAGGGTTAAATTAAACTGAAGCACCAGAGGAAAACAACAACATGCATTAAGACTCTTAATGAGGCTATGAGCTGAAGGGGAAATGTGTGTTTACAAGAGTAAAGGAAGGGAGTTTAAATGAAACAAAAGTACCTCATAAACAGGATGTTCATTACAATTAATGAAAGAAATGAAAAAAACAACAACAACAACAACCCCAAAGAAGGGCAAATTGTTAAACTCTTTATCTAAATCTCTTTCCACACAAACATGCCTTCAGTCCTTTTTAAAATCATTTATTTAAACTTAGAGGCCACATCTTCCAGCAGTGCCAGTCTCTTGTTTACATAGCTGATATATAGCACAAGGCTTCCCCTTTTACAGGCCTGTTGTAACTCCAGCGAAGAGAGGGCTGATTATGTCACAGACGTTTGGTGGGATGTTAAATCTACTGGAGTAGTTACTGTGAAATGTAGACGTTTTTATGAAAAGAGCTATGATTCCTCTGAATTGAAGATGAACAGGAGTGTATATTTTGAAAAATGTAAAGCTTTAACAATTTTTTCCCCTGTAACCTCCTTTTAGTTTTCATGCCAAGTTTTAAAACTTGACATAAATATGTCATATTTGCAGATATGGCAATTAATCTTTAGACACCTCATAGCAGAAACGAAAAGCAAAGGTGTTAACAGTGGGATGCATTCCACTTGTCGGGCGTGTGTGTGTGAAATGAGCCATTATTAAATTCACGTGAGCATTTTCCCGCCAAGGTAGGAAACATTAAAAGTGGCAGATCAGAGAAAAGAAATGATTTGATAAGAGATGTCACATGTCATCTGCATCACTACAGAAAACAAAACAAAACAAAATCAAAATTATAAAAGAAAATTGTAAAATAATCAATGCCAGTGTTTCTGACACTTTTGGATGAGTAAACATTGACCCAGGAACATAATTGGTGTTCCTGGAAACCAACATAACAGGAGTGTGATGCATAACGAATACGCCCTAGAAGGCCAGGCTGATTTTATAAGCATGTTATTAACCCAGTACTGCAATCTAGCTGTACCTGTGACTGCGACAGAGGGCATTGGGTGCATACAGAAAGTAAAACAACAAGACCTGACTTGATCGATTGTTAATATTTGCATAACATTCGTAACATGTTATGCAGGCTGCCTCCAGGAACTAAAAATGACATGCAACCTACAGCTTTGGTGCACACATGTGCCAAGTGAGCACAAGCCTGATCTCCCCAGCAGCCACTGCGTTATTAATAGCACACATTTACACACTAAGCTATCTAATTTTAACCCCGGCGAACTATTTCTGTATGAGAGGTTACCTCTGAAAGTCATAAGCCGGTCATTGCATGAACGGAGCAGAATAAAAGGCTGATGTAACTATTTAAATGTGACACACGTTAAAAATAAAAGAAGAAGAAAAATAACACAGAGAGGAAAACGGCCTACCGGTGGAGGGCATATATAAGCGGGGATGGTCGGCTAGGTGTCCGGCTCCCAGATCCGCATCCCAGTGACGCGGTAAGATTTTTTAAAGGAGACTCCACAGCGGATCGAGGGTATTCCCATTTAAAGCCGTTGCGTCAAGCAAGCCGACGTAAACACGTGATTTCCGCCATGACCTTCCAAAGTAAAAGCTTCAGCGAGTAGCTTAAGTGTACTTGGTGAACCTATATTAAATGTATGGTACACTGTTACGGTTATGTAAACAAATACGACAGAAAGTGATACCATGCCGAATGTGCCCAGGTATTACTTTTTTGTCCTCTACAAAGTTTAAGATGAACTAAAATTGTACATTTTTGCAAATACAACAGTTATTATAAACGTAGTAGTAGCTTAAATCTCATGTGTGGTGAATCTACTGAAAATTGTCCCATTTTATCTCATCCAAGTACTTCATAATACATTCTTACTTTAAAACATGAAACGCAACCTTTAAACAGACAGGACATTATATAAAATTGTGAAATGTCTGTGTAGGTTCTCAGTAATCCAGGTCATAGTAGTTGTAAGAGCCTCATCCCAATCCGATTTACTCCCTGTTAGACCTCTGCCTTACCATCACATATTTGAAATACAATAAGGGTTGTGTCACTCAAAGGTCAACATCTTTAAAGAAGAAGCTCAAATAAAGAAACACCTACTGGTTTATTCAAGATGACACTTGGTTAAAAATCAAAACACAAGAGGTAGAGGTTTCATGAACACATGAGCTGAGTGGATGAAAACATCGAGTTCACCAAAAAATAGATACCTATTTGATTCCCATTGGAGTGGGTATTGTAGGTCAAAGGGTAGGTCAGAGACCTACCACCCACTGGAGCATAAACGTTCCCTATGAGGCTGAAAGGAAATAAAAGGAATACACATGTAAAGAAATCTCTTAAAACATATGATGGGATAGAGCAATATCTCAGAGGTTTCACCCCTCAGCTGTGATGATGTTAATGATCATTTTTCACACCTTGGCTCATGTGGCGACACACATGATCAATAGTGGGTTAATGACAAGTTCAGCACATGGAGTTATCTGAGCTTAAGAAGCTTTTAGGGGTCCTTTTGCTTTAAAATTCAATTCAATTTTCAATTCAGTTTTATTTATATAGCGCCAAATCAAAACAACAGTCGCCTCAAGGCACTTTATGTTGTAAGGTAGACCCTACAATAATACATACAGAGAAAAACTCAATCATACGATCCCCTATGATTGAGGCATTCTTAACAGTATAGCAGCTGTCCCCATGCTGTTTCTGGGTCTGGCCTTGGCACACCCTGTAACTGGACTCTGTACCTCGGTGTCGTAATTTACAGAGCTGGCCTACCGGGTTTAAAGTACATTTCAGTTTATACAACAGTACTATTAGCTGACCTACTAATAACTGACAAGTAAACTGATAAATAAACTGCTTTTTTTCCTTTTACTTTGCAGGTGACGTGTTGCAGGTCGGAAAAAACTCAAGCTGTCCCTTCGCCTGATGGTGGAAATATCCCTCTAAAAATATACAGAGGCATTCTTGTATCAGCAGCAGTCACGAGTATGAGATTGTTATATACAGCTAACAGCTAAGGGTTAAGAGGTTTGACGTTCATAAATCCTAAAAGATACAGTCATTTTATTCCTCTGCATGTGTGTGAATGCTTCTTCTATAAGCCTAGATAAATTTTTGCCTACATCCAATTTGTCGTATGGCTACTAGAATAACTTGTAGTTTAAAACTATGTACATACAGTCATATGAAAAAGAAAGTTTTAATAGGACTTTATGAAAAAAAAGATTAACTTGTGTCTTTGGCAGCAGTAGCTTGTTATAAGCATTTTCTATATGACTTGCCCCGTTTTACAGCATTGCTTTAGGTCATTGAGATTTTCACACACTTGTTAAGGGTCTTTTAATGACCCTTCACTTGTTAAGGGTCTTTTAATGACCCTTCACAAGATTTCAGATGGGCTGAGATCTAGACTTTAATGGGCCATTCCATTGCAAATTTGCTTCTGTGCTTGGACTCATTGACATATGCATGCCCTATTTTAGGCCAAGCTTTAGCTGTGAGGTTGCCTCACATTTGACACTAGATTACTCAGCAGTTTCTCAACACCTTAATTACTTCTTAACACAGAATAACTGCTATGATGCCTTCCAGTAAGGTTTTAGACAGAACCACAGCACTGAGACTGCTCTGACCAAAGTGTTTAATGACATATGTCTGAATACAGACAGTGGAAAAATGTCTGTTTTAGTTTTACTGGATTTCAGTGCAGCATTTGATACAGTTGACCACAACATATTACTCAAACGACTGGAGAACTGGGCAGGTCTTTCAGGAACTGTACTAAACTGGTTCAAAACATACTTAGAAAACAGGAAATACTTTGTATCAATGGGTAACTTCACATCTGAGCAGACAAGTATCACATGTAGGGATGGGTATCGAAAACCGGTTCTTGTTGAGAACCGGTTCCCACTGTTTCAATTCCTTGGAATCGTTTGCCACTTTTAAAAACGATTCCCTTATCGATTCCAGTCGCCCCGAATGACGTCATCACGTTGAGTAGCGTCTTTTACCCAGTAGGAAACACGGCGCCTGAGCGGCGCAAACGCTCAAAAGTTTGGTTACACTTTATGAGAAAGGATGACAACAGGGCAACGTGCAATACTTGCAAAGTAGAGATTTCATCAAAGGGAGGAAACACTACGAATATGCAAAAGCATTTGCTCAAAAAACACGCGATTGCTTTCAACGAATGTCGTGTTTTGATCCGCTCCGGACTAGCGAAGCTCAACCCAGCAGCAGCGGTAGCGTTTCCACGTCCTCTCCCGTTAATACTGCAGGTAACTAATCAATTAGCATTGCATATTATGTTAGCGCGATTTACCTTATTACAAAACCTGCTATTACTGTGCGTTGCATTTAGATAACCATGATGAGAGAGACAGAGTCTGGCTGGCTCAGATGCTGGCAGTTCTCGCTGCAGTCTACCGGTAGCGTCTCCTTTCAGGCCAGGATAGACGAATGTCACCCAGCAGTGACTAAGTTTGTGGTCAAAGGCTTGCACCCATTTGCCACAGCAGATGCCCCCGATTTCACTTTGGTAAGTGAATGTGTTTAATTGTAGGCAGGACATTACTGGATATTCTTGTGTAATTGCTACAGAATAATTTATGTTAAACTTTGTTATTGCTACAGGAGAATATTAATTTTATTATTTTACATATACATTTTTTTTCCTGGGGACCCTGTGACACCCCATTGAAGAGCCGTAGGCTGTGGATCTCTTAAGATCTCACTGTTGGGTTTGTAAGGCCATGTTACTCCTAAATTTCTATCTTGTTCAAAGAGAAGATATAAAACAAAGTTCTAAGCTAATCGAACTTAGTGTTCTCCTTTTTAAAAAAAAAAAGAATCGATAAGAGAATCGATAAGGAATCGAATCGTTAAACAGAATCGAAAATGGAATCGGAATCGTTAAAATCTTATCAATACCCATCCCTAATCACATGTGTAGTCCCCCAAGGTTCCATCTTGGGACCCCTTCTGTTTAACATTTACATGCTCCCACTGGCACAGATTATAAAGAACAACAAAATAAACTATCACAGCTATGAAGATGACACACAAATATATCACAATGTCACCAGGAGACCGAGGCCCTGTACAGGCTCTTGGTAAATGCATAGAGGAAATTAATGACTGGTTGTGTCGCAATTTTCTCCAGCTAAACAAAAACAAAACAGAAGTAATAGTCTTTGGAGCCAAAGAAAAATGATTACAGGTCACCAGAGAACTTCAATCTACACACCTAAAAACCACCAACCAGGCGAGAAATGTGGGTGTAGTGATGGATGCAGGCCTAAACTTATAAAAACACATCAAGACAATAACAAAGTCAGCTTACTATCACCTCAAGAATATTTCAAGGATAAAAGATCTGATGTCTCAACAGGACCTGGAAAAACTAGTCCATGCATTCATCTTTAGTAGGCTTGATTACTGTAACAGCATCTTTACAGGTCTACCTAAAAAACCAGTCAGACAACTACAGCTCATTCAGAACTCTGCTGCTCGAGTCCTTACTAAGACCAAAAAAGTGGACCACATCAGTCCAGCTCTGAGGTCTTTACACTGGCTGCCTGTCCGTCAGAGGATAGACTTTAAAGTTCTGATGCTGGCCTATAAAGCTCTGAATGGTTTAGGACCAAAATACACCTCCTGGATCCGGTTTTTTATCAGTTCCCAGAGTCAGAACCAGACACGGAGAAGCTGCATTCAGCTTTTATGCTCCATATATCTGGAACAAACTCCCAGAAAGCCTCAGATCAGCTGAAACACTCAGTTTATTTAAATCCAGGTTGAAGACTCACCTATTCTCAGCTGCATTTGAATAAAGCACCAAATCCACACTGTTTTACTTTTAAGCTTAGATTTCAAAACTTACATTTTAACTACTGATTTTATCTACTGTTCCTTTCTTTCCCCCCCATTTTAAATCATGCTTTTTATTTGTTTTTATTTTTTAAATGTCTCTGTAAAGCACTTTGAATCACCTTGCTGAACACCTTGAATTGTGCTATATAAATAAACTTGCCTTGCCTACTATAGATTAGGTGTTCCCTGTGCTTGACATTTGGTATGAGGTGTTGGAGGTGTGGTTTTTACCAAATATGGTTTTGTAGAGACAAATTTGCTGGAACACCCACTCCTGGGAAGGTTGTGACATTTTTGTGGCGTTAACACAGCTGAATGCTGCAGAACAACAAACTGTCAAAACGTCTGCTTTTACAGACAAGGTGGTGATCGGTTAATAGCAGCGCTGACTGCTACTTACTTTCTCAATCCTGTTGATGTTATTTTCTGTCCTACTGTAGAATATCATTAATGCAATTTTAGTATTTGAGGTTTATATAAGTACCATTTATCTGAGAAATTTTTCTGTGAAATAATTTGATTAATTTTCATAGGTTTATCAAATTAGACTGTATATTACTGCTTACTTCAGTTTTTTTTAAAAAAAAATGTTTTAATTTATGCACATTTCCATAAGAATACGTGA